TTCTGTAAACTTGTATATTTTATTCAGGAAACAGTAAAAACTTTGGAAAAAATACTTTGTTATAATCACACTGGCACAAGGATCAACGTAGAAGTCACAAGTAAGTGCATATTGTTTTACGCCACTTGGATCATTATTCAAGCCGCACGGCTACAGATGCTGCTTCTTTATTCTGTTATTCAAATATGGAAATTGTCATCACGCATTCAAACAGGTTATCTATCAAAACAGCATCCTCGGCTCCTGTTCCAGACAATCAGAAGTATTCCCAACCACTTTCACTTCCATGAATCAATATACTTTTAACCAACAAACATTTGTAAAAATGTATCCTGAAATAAGTTTTATTCCCCCTTAAAAAACAAAATTCTCTTTTTAATATTTTTGTTTTGAATATTGAACATTAACAATTTATCATGTCAAAAGAGACTGCTGATGTTTATTCAATAATCAGACATGGGGAACATCTGAATGGAGAGCTTCTGAATAATTTATTTTCTTACTGACATACCAGTATCATTAAGTGCAGATTAAGTGTCCTGACAACGATCACATTTTAAATTCAAATGGTTATCATATTTTTTAATCAGTATATATTTCACCATAAAAAAAACTTCATCAACATTATAATACTCCTGAATAATGCATCACATTCAAAACCACAAAATACTGTCAAAATATCTGCTACTTTGAAGTTGTTTCTCATTTCTGTTTAAAAGATGCTTTAAGTAAGACTACTTATTTACCCACATTTTTTTCATTCAAAGGAAAGCTGTTTCATAAAAAGCTGAAAAAATGTCTATGTTTGAAAAAACTCAAATGTTCATCTTTAAGACCTGGGCCCACTTGCACAAAGCGATCTTAGCGCTAAGATGATCGTAACTCCCATACTTTAACATAGGCTTTCAGTAGTCGTAGCGATAAGATCGCTTTGTGCAAGTGGGCCCTGAACACATCATGAAATAAAAATAATTATTAGTTAAAATTATAGTTAAAATAATTATGTGGTTCTGATAACACGACTGACTGTAATTACAGGCGCCAATTTTACGTTCTACTCCATGGTGTACGCAGTGTGTATGACAGAAAGAAGAGCACACATTTGTTTGTTTAGTTGTTTGTTTGTTTGTTTGTTGTTTTACGCCGCACTCAGCAATATTCCAGCTATATGACGGTCATCTGTAAATAATCGAGTCTGGACCAGACAATCCAGTGATTGACAACATGAGCATCGATCCACGCAATTGAGATCGATGACATGCATCAACCAAGTCAGCGAGACTGACCACCCGATCCCGTTAGTCGCCTTTTACGACGAGCATAGTCGCCTTTTACGGTAAGCATGGGTTGCTGAAGACCTGTTCTACCCCGGATCTTCACAGGCCAGAGCACACATCTATACTAAAAACTACTAATACTGTTACACTTCTCCAACAAAGTTGCAGGCTTTTCAGAAAACAAAGAAAAGAGCCTTCTCACCAAAATACCAAGCCTTACAAAGAAGACCAAACTTAGGGATAACAACTTCTTTAATATACTATTTTTTACATACCAGTAGATCCTTATACCATTGCCAAGCAATACACACCCACTCAAGCTCTTGTTACATTTAATACTGTACCTATATAATTCTCTACCTCTTCAGAATATTCTGGCTTGCTGGACAACTGTATAAGGATCTACACCAAAACATCACCCCATAGTCTATTAAAGAAGTTGTTATCAATATATTTTGTCTACTTTCTCATCCGTCAACTTCTAAGAAATGCTCATCAAACAAGTTAGGCTTAAGTACTACTTGTGTCTCGTTTTTTTCAGTATTAAATGTACTTGGTACTATTCCCTTGACAACATAATGTTATCTGACTTGGTACTATTGACCTGACAACAAGTCTCATTTATCAAGTGTAAAATGTTATCTGACTTGGTACTATTGACCTGACAACAAGTCTCATTTATCAAGTGTAAAATGTTATCTGACTTGGTACTATTGACCTGACAACAAGTCTCATTTATCAAGTGTAAAATGTTATCTGACTTGGTACTATTGACCTGACAACAAGTCTCATTTATCAAGTGTAAAATGTTATCTGACTTGGTACTATTGACCTGACAACAAGTCTCATTTATCAAGTGTAAAATGTTATCTGACTCGGTACTATTGACCTGACAACAAGTCTCATTTATCAAGTGTAAAATGTTATCTGACTTGCTATTACTGACCTGACAACATGTCTCATTTATCAAGACATTAGCAATGTTATTTGATTGTGACGTCATGGGAACCAACAACCTTACAAAGGTCTCCAAAGCATTGTGATGCAATTTTAATGATCTCATCCAAGCGTTATCTCCTGTGAAAGCCAGCTTGAGATGATTCTGGAACTTGGACCAGAAGGCCGGTCAAATCTCAGACACTAAAGGAAGGGCATAAACCTCATATCACATAGCAGCGCTCACAGCCTATGAAACAACAATCATCTCCATCACAATGCTACACTGCAACTTGTGCGATACAGCATTTATTCATCAGCATAATTCCAAGTTTGCTGACACTCCTTGTAACCTCTAGAAAACTGTGTACCCAGCTGGTACTCTTGCCTGAGACTACTAAATTGTGTTGAGGTCAAATAAAAATCCAATGATGGTACTCCTTATGGACCGACCATATGATATTCTGGGGGACTGGGATTTTGAATTGAGACTGGATACCAAACCAGATATTTATTTTTTTTAAACTATGAGCCTGATATTTTTAAACACCCCTTGCAACAACTTAATTTTTGTGGCAGGCAATTTCCTTTATTTTTTCAACTGTCCCAAGAATAATTATTTTTTTCAAGAATTATCAGGGACAATATATTTGTTTTTAGAAAATTTTAGTTGAGCTTACTTAGACTGCACTTAACCAGTTCTCAATGCCATGATATTACTACTAAGTCCAGAAGGACTAGCTGCAAACTCTAGAGACCGCCTCGTAGTTAAATGGATAGAGCGACTGGCCAGAAAGCAGATCATTGGGTTGATCCCCTGGCCTCGTCACACCAAAAGATGGTAAACGAAGGTACCTAGTTTTACCATGCTTTAAGGGGATAAAACAAGGGCTGGTCTGCTCAGAGTCTGAACGAAGTATCCATGTTAAACTGTGGCATGGTATCTCAGTGAGCTGGCACACACACACACAAAACAAACACAAAACACACTCTCACTCACACAAAACACACACACACACACACTCTCTCTCTCTCTCTCTCACACACACAAAACACACACACACAAAACACACACACACTCTCTCTCTCTCACACACACACACAAAACACACACACACACTCTCTCTCTCTCTCTCTCTCTCTCACACACACACACAAAACACACACACACTCTCTCTCTCACACACACACACACACACAAAACACACACACTCTCACTCTCTCTCTCTCTCACACACACACACACAAAACACACACACACTCTCACTCTCTCACACACACACACACACACACACACACAAAAAAAACACACACACACAAAAAAAAAACACACACTCACTCACAAACACACACACACACACACACACACACACACACACACACACACAAAACACACTCATTCACAAACACAAACACATACACACACACAGAGTGTGATAATCTTGATAACATGAAGTCACAACCCATGTCACCTCCCCAGAGAGCTAGTGACATAAGTGTAACACCAGTCCTCAGGACATGCATGAAAAAAAACCCGAATTTCTAAGGCTGCGTACGCGAGGCGAATTCCCCCCGATTGAATCACTCGAACTGGGCTTTTGAGCCTAGGGAATCGCTGAGGTGTAAAAACAGGTCAGGCTGGGAGTAGGCCTCCCCTGGCAGTACAGGAAACACTACCCGAGAGCCAGCCCGCCGACATAATGACTCTCCCGTGTGCGTGTATCTGGGGACCCGAATACATACATGTCTACACCAGCTTAATAAGGCACACGCTCAGGGTGTGAATAGCCGTGTTAACCAAATAGTCATGAAGAGGTGACTATTCAATCTTGTGCTGTGATGATATTCATATTTATTCATTATATCTTCTTAGCATGTTCATTGTTATGATGATGACAGGATGTATAATACGAAAGTGGTTAATGGTGGATATCTAGAACTGTGTCTGCATGGACCAACTTTTGTCAGGGATGGAGAGTGAGTGAGTGAGTGAGTGAGTGAGTGAGTGAGTGAGTGAGTGAGTGAGTGAGTGAGTGAGTGGGTGAGTGAGTGAGTGAGTGAGTGAGTGAGTGAGTGAGTGAGTGGGTGGGTGTGTTTGAGTGGGTGGGTGGGTGGGTTTGAGTGAGTGAGTGAGTGAGTGAGTGAGTGGGTGGGTTTGAGTGAGTGAGTGAGTGAGTGAGTTGTACATGTTTGTACATGTTTGTAGTTTTATCATGGCAAATAAGAAAATGTACAACTTTATAGTGACAACTTCTGGTGTAATGCATACAGCTAGATAATGGTGTAAGAGTCGAAACATAGCTCAATGCAATAAACAGGTAGTTGTTATCCATAAAGTTGTACATTTTCTTGCTGAGTCACCAACTTAAATGGCTCAATTGAATGTTTATACGTGTTCCATATTCTGAGATTGGAATAACCAGAATATATAATAAATGTACATAAATGTACATGTGTGTGTGTCTGTCTGTCTATCTGTGTGAGGGTCTGTGTCTGTGTGTCTGTCTGTCTATCTGTGTGAGGGTCTGTGTCTGTGTGTCTGTCTGTCTATCTGTGTGAGGGTCTGTGTCTGTGTGTCTGTGTGTCTGTCTGTCTATCTGTGTGAGGGTCTGTGTCTGTGTGTCTGTCTATCTGTGTGAGGGTCTGTGTCTGTGTGTCTGTCTGTCTATCTGTGTGAGGGTCTGTGTCTGTGTGTCTGTCTGTCTATCTGTGTGAGGGTCTGTGTCTGTCTGTCTGTTTTACAGGCAGATACATATACATGCTGAAATACAAATACAATGTACTCACGAGGTTGAGAGGTTTCATGTTGTCGTCCTCGCCCTCTTGTCCCCCGTCGCCAGAGCTCTGAGCAACGTCGCCGTTCATGCCGATGCTGCCACCACCTCCTGGGAACAGAGCAACAATCCCTTCAAACACCACACTCATTTTCTGTTGCCACAATAATTTCATTATTACATATTTATCCAATGTTTTCAAAATGGGAAGTGGGAGGCATTTCATTTCAATGACGAGAGCCTGGGTGTGAAAATGTAATAACTAATCTATGGTGTGTTCAGAGCCGCACACAGAAAGACTTGACCTAAAGATATTACAATGATGTATTTTTCAACATACCGTATTCGACATAATAAGCGCTCAGGGTGCTCACAAAATTAGAAAAAGGGGGCTGTTATTAGAATATTGGGGGCACGGGTGGCCCAGTCGGCGCGCCAGAAACCTATGATTGTGGGTTCGAATCCCGGTTCGCCCTGATTATGTTTCTAGGTTTGTCATCACCATACCCGTGCTCGTGGGTTTCACCGAAGTTGTAAACGTCTGAGACCTGCATCACTTCGGGCTTTCCTCCCACATCAAGCTGACACACCGTGATGTAACTGGAATACTGTTAAAAGCGGCGAAGTGATGCAGGTCTCAGACGTTTACCACTTCAGTGAAACCCACGAGCACGGGTATGGTGCTGACAACCTAGAAACATAATCGGGGCGAAACATGCTACATGCGCTTCAGTGTGAGGCAGAATCGCAGCTATAGAAATTCTCAGGCACCAGGGGCGGTCGGGTAGCCTAGTGGTTAAAGCGTTCGCTCGTCACGCCGAAGACCCGGGTTTGAATCCCGACATGGGTACAGTGTGTGAAGCCCATTTCTGGTGTCCCCCGCCGTGATATTGCTGGAATATTGCTAAAAGCGGCGTAAAACCAAACTCACTCACTCACTCAGGCACCAAGTTGCCTAACACAGTCACCCATCCAAGGACTCTCCACAACCAAGTTTGTCAAACTCCATCTGACTTGTGACCTGGGAACTGGACCACACACCACGTCTTTCACATGTTTAACATGTTTCAGGCTCTCCCTACCCTACACCATTCTGAGACTGCCTCCGTGGTCTAGTGGCAGAGCGTCCGCCCCGAGAGCGGAAGGTCCGGGGTTCGATCCCTGGCCACGTCATACCAAAAGATCTTAAAAGATAGTACTTGTTGTTACCCTGTCTGGCGCTCGGCATTAAGGGGCGAAAACAAGGACTGGTCGGCTCGGAGTTAGTATACTGTGTCTGAGTGGGGTATTCATGTTAAACTGCGGCATGGTATCTCAGTGTGCTAGCACTATAAATCGGCATCAGTCCGGACTAGTACAAGCACCCACACACACATACGTGCATGCACATCACAATATATGTGCAATAATCTTGGACGCGACGTTAAACCCCTTTTCATCTGACCATACCTACCGCTCTGAAACTCTGTTGCCCACATTTTTACAGGGGTACATGATTTGGTTGGTTGGTTTGTTGTTTAACGCCGCACTCAGCAATATTCCAGCTATATGACAGCGGTCTGTAAATAATAGAGTCTGGACCAGACAATCAAGTGGTTGATATCATGAGCATCAATCCACGCAATTGGGATCAATGACATGCATCAACCAAGTCAGCGAGCCTGACCACCCGATCCCGCTAGTCGCCTTTTACGACAAGCATAGTCGCCTTTTACGGCAAGCATGGACAGGGGTACATGAAGGGACATCCTTTTCTAGAGTTGTGGTCATATCTTCATGGATCACTTTTTGTTTTAAGACCTTTTTTCTGCTAGGACTTGATAACAGCATGTTCCTCAAGCATGTTTATTTTCCAAAGGTAACATTTTACTGACTTATCAACAGTCTTGTTGCTAGCCTCCATCAACCAAGGGTCCTAAAATTTTGGAGGGCCTCATCCCTAATAAAGCAAAAACATTGATGATGATTTTTAATGTACTGTCCTTAAATTTTATGGTCTTAATTCAATAAAATTGACTTCGATTTAGCAGACGCCATGCTTGTCACTGCTGGCTATGACAGTATCTATTTAGAAACAATAAATCTGATTGGTTGGAAAATAATATTCAGTGCAGTCCTGCTGTCGTTAATTGTAAGCTTGCCTACGATTGGTAAAAAATATCACTATAGTAATCTCAAACATGGCGGACACATTTGGTTTAAAAAACATGCTGATGTTTGACTTTACTTATAAAACACAACTTTTCCGATTAAAATTACATTGAGGTAAGTGAAGGTGAAAAGCTTAGTGCGCCCAGCCGGACTTGTTGTATTTTAATTGCGTCATGCACAGACATTTTGCCGGAATCCTGCAAGGCCGCAGTCACGGAACAACACTGAATCAGTCAAACCTCATAGATGAACTTATTTACCCCCTCATCACCCCCACGTAGATGTTTATCATCCAAACTTATTTACCCCCTCGTAGATGTTTATCATCCAAACTTATTTACCCCCACGTAGATGTTTATCATCCAAACTTATTTACCCCCTCGTAGATGTTTATCATCCAAACTTATTTACCCCCACGTAGATGTTTATCATCCAAACTTATTTACCCCCTCGTAGATGTTTATCATCCAAACTTATTTACCCCCTCGTAGATGTTTATCATCCAAACTTATTTACCCCCTCGTAGATGTTTATCATCCAAACTTATTTACCCCCTCGTAGATGTTTATCATCCAAACTTATTTACCCCCTCGTAGATGTTTATCATCCAAACTTATTTACCCCCTCGTAGATGTTTATCATCCAAACTTATTTACCCCCTCGTAGATGTTTATCATCCAAACTTATTTACCCCCTCGTAGATGTTTATCATCCAAACTTATTTACCCCCTCGTAGATGTTTATCATCCAAACTTATTTACCCCCTCGTAGATGTTTATCATCCAAACTTATTTACCCCCTCGTAGATGTTTATCATCCAAACTTATTTACCCCCTCGTAGATGTTTATCATCCAAACTTATTTACCCCCTCGTAGATGTTTATCATCCAAACTTATTTACCCCCTCGTAGATGTTTATCATCCAAACTTATTTACCCCCTCGTAGATGTTTATCATCCAAACTTAATCAACCCTCAAAGATGTTTATCATCCAAACTTAATCAACCCTCAAAGATGTTTCTCATTCAAACTTAATCAACCTTCAAAGACGTTCTTCATCCAAACTTAATCAACCCTCAAAGATGTTTCTCATCCAAACTTAATCAATCCTCAAAGATGTTTCTCATCCAAACTTAATCAATCCTCAAAGATGTTTCTCATCCAAACTTAATCAACCCTCAAAGACGTTCTTCATCCAAACTTAATCAATCCTCATAGATGTTTTTCATCCAAACTTAATCAATCCTCAAAGATGTTTCTCATCCAAACTTAATCAACCCTCAAAGATGTTTCTCACCCAAACTTAATCAACCCTCAAAGACATTCTTCATCCAAACTTAATCAATCCTCATAGATGTTTCTCATCCAAACTAATCAACCCTCATAGACGTTCTTCATCCAAACTTAATCAACCCCTTAAAGATGTTTATCATCCAAACTTAATCAAGTCTCAAAGATGTTTCTCATCCAAACTAATCAACCCTCATAGACGTTCGTCATCCAAACTAATCAACCCTCAAAGATGTTCTTCATCCAAACCAATCAACCCTCACAGATGTTTATCATCCAAACTAATCAACCCCCACGTAGATGTTTAGCATCCAAACTTAATCAACCCTCAAAGATGTTTCTCATCCAAACTTAATCAACCCTCAAAGATGTTTCTCATTCAAACTTAATCAACCTTCAAAGACGTTCTTCATCCAAACTTAATCAACCTTCAAAGATGTTTCTCATCCAAACTTAATCAATCCTCAAAGATGTTTCTCATCCAAACTTAATCAATCCTCAAAGATGTTTCTCATCCAAACTTAATCAACCCTCAAAGACGTTCTTCATCCAAACTTAATCAATCCTCATAGATGTTTTTCATCCAAACTTAATCAATCCTCAAAGATGTTTCTCATCCAAACTTAATCAACCCTCAAAGATGTTTCTCATCCAAACTTAATCAACCCTCAAAGACATTCTTCATCCAAACTTAATCAATCCTCATAGATGTTTCTCATCCAAACTAATCAACCCTCATAGACGTTCTTCATCCAAACTTAATCAACCCCTTAAAGATGTTTATCATCCAAACTTAATCAAGTCTCAAAGATGTTTCTCATCCAAACTAATCAACCCTCATAGACGTTCGTCATCCAAACTAATCAACCTTCAAAGATGTTCTTCATCCAAACCAATCAACCCTCACAGATGTTTATCATCTAAACTAATCAACCCCCACGTAGATGTTTAGCATCCAAACTTAATCAACCCTCAAAGATGTTTCTCATCCAAACTTAATCAACCCTCAAAGATGTTTCTCATCCAAACTAATCAACCCTCAAAGACGTTCTTCATCCAAACTTAATCAACCCTCAAAGATGTTTCTCATCCAAACTTAATCAACCCTCAAAGACGTTCTTCATCCAAACTTAATCAACCCTCGAAGATGTTTATCATCCAAACTTAATCAAGTCTCATAGATGTTTCTCATCCAAACTAATCAACCCTCATAGACGTTCTTCATCCAAACTTAATCAACCCTCAAAGATGTTTATCATCCAAACTCATCAACCCTGAAAGGTGTTTAGCATCCAAACTTAATCAACCCTCAAAGATGTTTATCAACCAAACTCATCAACCCTGAAAGATGTTTATCATCCAAACTTAATCAAGTCTCAAAGATATTTCTCATCTAAACTTAATCAACCCTCAAAGATGTTTCTCATCCAAACTTAATCAACCCTCAAAGATGTTTATCATCTAAACTAATCAACCCTCAAAGATGTTTATCATCCAAACTTAATCAACCCTCAAAGATGTTAATCATCCAAACTTAATCAATCCTCAAAGATGTTTCTCATCCAAACTTAATCAACCCTCATAGACGTTCTTCATCCAAACTAATCAACCCTCATAGACGTTCTTCATCCAAACTAATCAACCCTCATAGACGTTCTTCATCCAAACTTAATCAACCCACATAGATGTTTCTCATCCGAACTTATTTATCCCTCATAGACTTTAAAATAAAATTAGAAATCCTAGTTCTGAGGTAAAATGTGTGAACTGTCAAAACAATCTTAAAGATCAACAATCACCCGCCTCATGTTATGATTTTTCCACAGAAGAGCTTCCTTTGGAAAAAAAAACATTCCTTGCTCGCAAAAACAGCCAGGAGATTGGACCCAAGACCCTCCGCTCTCCAGGCAGATGCTCTGTACATTACAGAGGCGGTCAGAAACAAATAAAACTGACAGTCATAACTAAGTTTTAATAAACACGTATAAAGAGTTTCTAAGAAAAACAACAGAAAACAATTCTGCAGCAGCTTTCTAAGTACCAGAAGGAGAATGTGTATCTTAATATTCCACAAATCCTGCCTCACCAGCAATATCCCCATGCCTATCAGCAATCACAAACACACCTGTCTAAGGTAGTTACTGCTTACCTGGTCAGAGAAACTCGTCAAGACGACAAAGGCTGAGGGCCACACATTTGATCCCAAATGTTAGCAACATTGAACAGTCAGTGCTAGAGACGACTTTTCAATAGGCAAAAAACCAACATTAATATTAATACCTGCTCCGTGTCTGGCACTTTTTACCACATTCATAATTCATACAGAGAAATAGCACTAATCTACATTATTCTGAATAAATATACAAAGATGAATTACATACATATCTGAATTACATATATTCAAATACCACAGGAAAAATAATGTATTGATTATTACTACTAAGCATAGTGAAGAGTACTTAGTGTGCTTGTTTCACAGGTCGTACTACATTAGTTTTGTATCAGTGTTATAGCTGTCTTAAAAAGTAAGGTTACCATAAATATGAAAGACAGAAAGTTGACATTACAAAGTATAGCAAACTGAAAGAAAAGTCCAAGTTTTATTGTTGATTTGTTGTTTAACGCCGCACTCAGCAATATTCCAGCTATATGACGGCGGTCTGTAAATAATAGAGTCTGGACCAGACAATCCAGTGATTGACATCATGAGCATTGATCCACGCAATTAGGATATGATGACATGCATCAACCAAGTCAGCGAGCCTCATCACCCGATCCCGTTAGTCACCTCTTACGACAAGCATAGTTGCCTTTTATGGCAAGCATGGGTTGCTGAAGACCTATTCTACCCCGGATCTTCGCGTGTCTGTCAGAAAGTAATAGAATGAATGCTAGTCAATAATAAGAATAGTACGACCATCGCCTATTGCCAATACTGTCTACATGTAATGGGTGTAATTTCATTGATCTGACATATGTCCTTGCTAAACTGCCCCATTGTTAAGGTATCATAAGGTCTCGTACATCAGGACCATTTTAAAGGTTTTGCAATGGGTTATCATTACAAGGACCAGTGGACTAAAACTGTTAGTTTTCATTGCTGGATCCTTGCTTCAGACTAGTGCATCAGCGTTAGAAATTGGCACTAGTCCTGTCGTCCTTACCAAATTGCCCAGTAGTTAAGGACCAGTAGAAATTTGCCATTCTTAAGGGTTTTGCTACATGTTATCATTATTAAGACTAGTGGACTAAGGGACGGGTAGCCCAGTCGTCTACGGTGCCGCGATTCGCTGTGCAGAGTTGCGTCCCTTGGGCACGCCAGAAACCTATGATTGTGGGTCTGAATCCCGGTTCGCCCCGATTATGTTTCTAGGTTTGTCAGCACCATACCCGTGCTCGTGGGTTTCACCGAAGTGGTAAACGTCTAAGACCTGCATCACTTGGGGCTTTCCTCCCACATTAAGCTGACACGCCGCGATATAACTGTAATATTGTTAAAAGCTGCGTTAAACCCAACTCACTCACTCACTAGTGGACTAAAATTGTTTCTTCTGCTGTGCATGGATATATCAAGGATACCAAACCATGTGCCCTTGACAGTCCAATTTGGAAAATATATTTATTGGTCCAAAATTATGATTTTTTATAAGTCCTTATTTAATTAATCTAGGACATGTCTGAAGTGTCTGGCACTGTATTTTAACAATGCATTCAATAATTAAAACTGAAGCACTTAGCCCTCTTCCTCTTTACTGGTCCTGACATCAGTGACATCGAAGTTGCCTCAACCAAACTGACTGATTAGTTATACCATGTACAGTCAAGTCTCGTTAATCCGACACTCGCTATTCTGACAATCGTCTTTATCCGACACTAATGATGGAACCGATTAAATCAGTGCTATTTAGACCCATCAATCCGACAGTCTCGCACTCCGTCTCCGACACACCTTATTTGCAACGAATTACCGAAATCACTTATTAATCAGTCTCGTTAATCCGACACAGTGGTCAGCGTACTCCGTGGTCATCTGTCCGCGAGTACACAGCCCCATGTTTTGATGCGAGACGAGTCGCCGAGTAGCTGCATATTTCAATGGCTGAAGTGATAAACTTGCTTAATAATAAACAATTACTGCTTTAAATAAACAAAACAGGATTAACCACATGCCTAGATTACCTCAATCTCATAAAATCGGATACAAGTTCTCGCTAACCAAACCGATTCATTAGTTATACCATGTATGGTTATACAAATTCGGAATATATCAATTTCCATTAAGGAATTTATACTGACAGACTTGGGGAGGACGCTGAGCAGGTCTCAATAAACCCTGCTAAAGTTACACACTTTTTATCACATGGAATGTGGTACATTTCAAGCCTAGATGATTTGATGGTCAACATTTCAGTGTTAACAACTATCACACAACAACAATATTTTACAAAATAATACAATTGTCATTCAAGTGTCATATTAATCAATAATACATGTGCATATTCCCCTGCTCAATATCATTTCATAATCACCCCAAAACAACTATTAATATTAATGTTGTAACATCCCTTAAACATGTTAAAAAAAACTTGCATGCATCCAGCTAAAATATTTTTACCAATAATATTGCGACAAATTTATTTCCTTGTTTTAAGGACATCATTTTGAAACATACAGTGTGAACAGTGCCTGGTCCGAGGGATGAGAGATTTTCTCAGTTTAAGCATTGGTTGCTGAAGACCAGTTCTAACCCAGATCTTCACAGGGGGGGACAAGCATGGGTTGCTGAAGACACACTATAATGGGGATCTTCAAAGGGGGAGACAAGCATGGGTTGCTGAAGACACACTATAATGGGGATCTTCAAAGGGGGGACAAGCATGGGTTGCTGAAGACACACTATAATGGGGATCTTCAAAGGGGGAGACAAGCATGGGTTGCTGAAGACACACTATAATGGGGATCTTCAAAGGGGGAGACAAGCATGGGTTGCTGAAGACACACTATAATGGGGATCTTCAAAGGGGGGACAAGCATGGGTTGCTGAAGACACACTATTATGGGGATCTTCAAAGGGGGAGACAAGCATGGGTTGCTGAAGACACACTATAATGGGGATCTTCAAAGGGGGAGACAAGCATGGGTTGCTGGAGACCAGTTCTAACCCTGATCTTCACAGGGGGGGACAAGCATTGGTTGCTGAAGACACACTATAATGGGGATCTTCAAAGGGGGAGACAAGCATTTGTTGCTGAAGACCAATTCTAACCTAGATCCTCACAGGGGGAGACAAGCATGGGTTGCTGAAGACCAATTCTAACCCGTACCTTCACAGGGGGAAGACAAGCATTGGTTTCTGAAGACACACTATAATGGGGATCTTCAAAGGGGGAGACAAGCATTGGTTGCTGAAGACCAATTCTAACCCGTATCTTCACAAGGGAAGACAAGCATTGGTGTCTGAAGACCAATTCAAACCCAGACCTTCTCAGGGGAAGACAAGCATTGGTTGCTCAAAACCAATCCTAACCCAGGACATTCAAGGGGCTACTTATATAGAGTTAGCTGTTACTTGTATTAAAGAGCCAATGGTCAAGAGTGTAAGAGCAAGGCACTATATATTTGATGTGCACTATGTGGGATGTAAGCATGGATAAGTGTCGGAGTGAGTTTAATACAGTTATGTAACAGCCACACGAGGGCAACTGGGGAACACGGAGTCTGGCGCAAAAGTGGCTGACAGCATGAGCAATAATCCACACAACAGATGGTGACACAACCAGCCAGGTCATGCATTGTAAGCAATTTAGACAACTGAACAATGATCCACGAGGTCACACACAATAAGCCATGTCACACATTGTAACCAATTTAGTCAACTGAACAATGATCCACGAGATCACACACAATAAACCATGTCACACATTGTAACCAATTTAGTCAACTGAACAATGATCCACGAGGTCACAAACAATAAGCCAGGTCACACATTGTAACCAATTTAGTCAACTGAACAATGATCCACGAGGTCACACACAATAAGCCATGTCACACATTGTAACCAATTTAGTCAACTCAGCAGTGATCCACGAGGTAACACACAATAAGCCAAGTCACACATTGTAACCAATTAAGTCAACTCAGCACTGATCCACGAGGTCACACACAATAAGCCATGTCACACATTGTAACCAATTTAGTCAACTCAGCAGTGATCCACGAGGTCACACACAATAAGCCATGTCACACATTGTAACCAATTTAGTCAACTCAGCACTGATCCACGAGGTCACACACAATAAGCCATGTCACACATTGTAAGCAATTTAGACAACTGAGCAATGATCCACGAGGTCACACACAATAAGCGATGTCACACATTGTAACCAATTTAGTCAACTGAGCAATGATCCATGAGGTCACACACAATAAGCGATGTCACACATTGTAACCAATTTAGTCAACTCAGCAATGATCCACGAGATCACACACAATAAGCCAGGTCACATATTGTAACCAATTAAGTCCAACAATCAGATACAACCAGCATCATCACAAGATAATGCTGCAAGATTTGTAACCTATTCTGCTGCTAAATTATCCAAAGGGAAAAAGACAAATCTTGTCTAAACACAATCAACGGTACGTCTAATGCTAACCCATTTTTTATCCATCTAAAAACTTCCAAATAGCTTTCTCCTATAAAGACTGTCAATAAAAATTCGAAACCCATCCCAAACCTTAAACGCATTCTTCGTTACGCCTTGGCTAAAATTTATGACATGCAAAACAACATCGGTTTTGAATAACTTTAAAGGTATAGATGTTTCTTCTCCTCTGTTGCTGGGGTTAGAGAGGCCCCACAAAACTGCATGCTTGGTTTCCCCCACACAGACACAAGACTGCTCCATGCCCAGAATCATTGAGCCTGTTTAAGGGAAGGCGATACATGCAGGGTGTGGGTTACGCAGATAAATCAGCTCCATAGTGTATATGCAAATGAAATAAGTGGATTTAATGGTAACCCCGTCAATCCTAGTTCGTGAATTTGATTATTTCAAGTTAACAGGAAGGTGACAACAAAATCCTTTCCTGACTAGGAAGAATAAACAGATTGCTTCTCGGGGAATGACTTTTGAAAAACTGGTTTGGGAGGATGTGTACATAAGTAAGATCATACGAGAATAGAAAGAGGATGTCCTGTATTTTATAACAGTTTAATTCGTTAGCTACATCTACAGTTTGTACACGTACAGACACGACACATGTCACCAGGGCGACACACGTCACCTGTGGATGACTCTACGTCACACTTTCCAG